TTCAAGGTTACCATTTTCCAGGAGACCTGTGACCTCACTCAACAAGTCTAGAGATTGTTGGAAAGCTGACGCGATCCCAGGTTACACCAGTTTAAAGATTGTGACCCGTTGTAAGCAGGACCAGTCTGCAGCGGAATTGCTTGAAGCAAAACCAGTCCGCATTGGAGGAGTTCTACGGTATATGCCACACCCCTCTTGGGTAGCAATGAAGGCACTCAGTTCCATCCTGACAAAGAATCAGTTCCCCCAAACCCAAAAAGACTACTCTAGAAGCAGCCGGACCTCGCTGGGATCCACAAAGACCAGATTCAGAAGCTACTTGATGCAGGCTACGTGAGAGTCTTCAGTGAGGCAGAAGCCCAGCAGACTCGTGGCACTTTTTACACCGCATCGTTGAAACCAACTGTAAACCACGTTTGGTGTTCAAATTTGAGCAGTTGAAAACAAAATAACGTTTTGAAAAAACGTCTTCTACCTGGACCCAACTATGAAGCTTCCCTCCGTGGAGTCTTCCTCAGATTTAGGCAGAACCCGGTGGCAATAACTGGGGATATCCAAGCAATGTTTCACCAAGTACGACTCCATCCAGCTGAGACGCCTCTCTTGAGATTCATCAGGCAGAACATTGACAGAGAATCTAAAGCTTGAAGTCTATGAGAAGCAGTTCTTCCAATCAGCACAATCTGTAGCCCCCCCCCCGCTGTGCTTCCTTTGCCCTGCAAAGGACAACGAAGAAGTTGCACGTGATGTGCAGCAATCCTTCGACGTTGGCAACTGCCTGGACAGTCTCTCTTCAGCCGAGGAAGCTACAGAGTTGGTCATGAAGATTCACACATTGCTCGCAAAAGGTGGCTTTAACATTCCTCAGTGGGCAAGCAACACGCCCTCAGTGATGGATCTGAGGGGTATTTTGCTGCCAGACCAAAGGGGTTTGAAGACTGGCGGCGGAAGCGGGGGAGGGGGCCAGTGGCCTCCACTTTTCCGACTTGGGGCCTCCCCACTTTTTGTAGGTCCTATAATTGGGTGGGGCTCAATCGACCTATTAATGGCTGATACCTGATGGTCACTAACAACTGGCCCCCCACTTTTAAAATTCATTCCGCTGCCGGTGGATTTGACCTTTGGCATTTTTTTGGCCCGAATGACACACCATAGGCGACACTTGGGCCACAGTGGCAGTGTGAAGCAAATGACCTTAGATACAAGCACTGGATTTTGAAAATTGATGTCTACACTTCATATCAAATAGACCATTAATTAGGATACTGATTTCATCCCAAATTCACTTGGACACGAGCTGACATTCCTGTTGCTCGCCTCCACCTTTCTTCCTTACAAATTTTAAAGTTCATGGCCCATAAAATGCTCAATTAGCAGAGAATTTGACAGCTGAAAATTGCGATTCGGCCAGCACAGGTAATTTTGAGCCCATTTACTGGCCGGCAACCCTTGGAACGCGCCCTCAAATCTGTACACTAAAAATCGTATAGAAATAGCGCCGCCTGGGGACCCTCAGGAAAGGTGCATGGCTCGCATGTTTCACTGGAAATTAAAGTCTGAGGCCATATGATTTGTTATCTTTTCAATACTTTCCACACTCTTGTCACAAGGCATCTAGTCCATTGGTGAAAAAAATCGTCACTACATACGGTTAATAATTAAAGAGCACTGAATTCGGGCGGCCTGTTTTTGACATGGGTTTCTTGTTCTCGCACTTAAACGGCGGGAACACGGCCCAAGAACACTGTTCTCGAACGGAATTACATACTACCTCCTCTTCAAGGTGTTTCAGTAACACACAGAAAACTCGAGTGATTAAATTTGATTTTTGAACAGAAGAAAAAAATGCGAGATTGCTTAAAACCCCTAGATAATGTAAAAGTTTTGCAAAATTAACATTAATAATTTCCCATAACACAGAAATGAATATTTAAAAATATTTCTTTTTAAATACAAAAGAATTCAGCCCAGTTATTCAATCCTCAAAGAACGTACATAGAGCGGCCAACCCACGAACAACAAATCGATGTGTTCGTGATGTACGAGAACAAGCCGCCCGAACTCAGAGACTAACCAGAAGCAGTGGAAAGACAATACATTTCACGCTTGGAGTGTGCATCTTGAAGGACGTATGTGCAAGTCTGATTTTGAATTCGACAGCGCCCTCCTGCGATATGAGACTCCCTTTTCTTCGGATCCTTCTGCGTGGAGGACGATGGACCACCGGTACACCGTGGTGTTTATCGACCCTTCGAAACATGGCTGCCTCCATTTCACGAGTTTTGCGAAGATTGCAGAGGAGTTCGCCGGGGATTGCGACCCTGCCCCTTCTTCAAAAACAGGTTATTCTTCTCGTAAAATGTTAACAGTGTGAAGGTCTTCTAGGCTAGGACTTAATATTTTGATTTGTGTTTCATCTTTTCTAATTATGGCATTTCTTCTGACTCGTACCGCTTGGCTTGGCAGCTTGGCTTTTCGGGCTAAATAAAATAATAGCCTGATTGATACTTGATGAGTAATCAGCATGGTCAGTTGCATGGTCTTAAAACCACAGGTCATCAGATATAGAGTGATTTGTATCAGTTTCGACAGCTTATTGGGGAAGAGGAGTAATCGCAGAATACCCCGCCACTCTAAAAACGACCACTGGAAGGTGGAATGAAAGGTGAAAATCCCTTGAGAAGAGTGTGACACTTTGACCTGTACCTGGCTATGAGGTTGATTCTGCGGGGTGGTGGGGTATTCTGCAGTTGAGTTTTAGGAAGATTTGAATGAAAAAAACTGCAATATTTGCAGCACAGAAATGTACCCTAAATTTACTTCCTTAACAATTGGGCACTACTCCGTAGGTCTTACTACACTCCACTTTTTTGAAGGTTCCGTATGCTATGGCCTTTTGAAAGCTGCCCAGCAATCAGAACATATAAAATATCCATTTGCACTTGCTTAAGAAAATTTTCCCCTAAAGACCCTTACATGGAAATTCCACCCATATTGAACTACTAGGTTCAAGTGTATTTTGTAGCATTTAACCTATATTATTGTCAACAAATGAGGTTTTTTTCTACCATCTTTACCTCTCATCCCTCGATGATCCCCACTCATCTGCATTCTCTTGTGGCCGTATGTCACGTAACAAAAACGAATTTGCGTAGCGAACGTTTATGTTGCTTTAGATACCAGACCCAATAATTCCCACTACTCCCATTAAGATTATGTACAGAGACATTGGGAAAGAACGTCAGACGTCAAGGAACCACACTAATCACTCGTCAGCTCGACTGGGGAGAAAGGAGGGTGCTGTTTTACCATTTAAGAGAATTCCTCGAGGATGAATGTGTACTCACAATGTGCAAATGAATGGGAAGACCAAAAAGAGTCTTAGTCTAAAGTAGGCCTAACCTGTGTATGCAGGTAGTGGATTGGAGTGGAATTGGCTGGAGTTGGGAACAGGTGAAAGGAGGGTGCTATTTTTCCTAAAAAATTCTCCCAGAGGAAGAATCTGTTCTCACAATGTACATCGAATGGGAAAGATTGAAAAAGTCCAAGTGTTAAAGTATTGATGCGGGGATACATAGTGGAATGGAGCAGGAGAGTCTGTGTCCACATACATGTAGCTAGCTATGAGTTGGGATAGATTAGTGGCAGGGTATTCTGTAATTCTGAATACTATTGTGTCATTTCTGAAAGGCCAATAAAAATGTCCTAATTTGCGTGTTTCCGCTTTCCTTATCAAACTTGTCCAGTCAGCAGCCACCTCGTTGGTCCCAGCAAGATGGTTGAATCTTCAGGAGTACCAGAGCAAGAAGTTGATGTCGGACTACGACGTCACCGTCCAGAGGTTTCAGATGGCTGACAATGCCCCGGATGCCGTCAAAGCAGCAAAAGCTCTTAGTAAGTCTGAATAAGCCACTTGCAAGTTAAATTTGAATAAAATCTGGTACACTGTGTTATCTGATAGCACAGAAACGTAACAATTTGAATTCCCGAGACTAAAGACACTGTTGCTATACCTTGTGATTCGGGGCAAGATTTGCATAGCGACCACCATCTCTGGAATGGACCGGTTCCTTTATGCTGTTCTTATCCATTGAGAACAGTGTATTGTTGCAAGGCATCTCTTATGTAACTAAGCAAAAGCTTGCCCCAAATCACGAGGTATAGTAACAGTGGTTTTAGTATGGAGAATTCAAGTTTTTATGTTCACATGAATTTAAAGAACTCAGTGTACCCGATTTTATTCCAGTTTAACTCACAAGTGGCATATTGGCTTTCCATGAGCTTCATGTGCACTGCAGAATAACCCTGTGCATGCTGCAGAAAGAAAGTAGAAGTTACTGATTGTTCTACACACGTGTCCATCACAGTTTACGTTGGTTGGCATTGATCTTAATTGTATATTTTGACTTCAATATGTTTGAAAAATTGTATGATCTTTAGCCACAACCCCTGCAACAGCCTGTTCAGTGCATCTTTTGTTGCACGTTGTTGAATCTAGGTAAACTGCCTGAGGTATTTATAAATTTTATTTAATCTCTTGCGGAATGCCAGTTGTATTCCTCCATATCAAACTGGCCCCCGACACAGTATCACTTTCCGAAGAAAATCTTGGTTTTTTTAAAGGACCAATTCTGTATTCTTTGCTAAGATCTAGGAGTCATTGCAAAAATATTTCTGACCTTAATGTTATCTTGTCTATGCTTTTAGGCGCTTTCACGCTACCAAAAAGTAGAGGAAACGAGCAAGCTACCAATTACTGTGATGTCTTTCAGGCCATTATTGGCAGGCAAAGGTGCTTGTCTCCCATCCCCAGCAAGTATTAACACATTCTTCTTTCTCTACCCCTCCCCTTGTTATGTTGATGCAGATGCCAAGGAGATTGTGTTGAAAGCTCAGATCCTAGCAGGAGGAAGGGGCAAAGGCGTCTTCTCCAGTGGACTGAAAGGAGGCGTACACTTGACCAAAAAGTAAGATGCGCATGGCTTCAGGAAATGTTTTTATTTGGGTGTGCATCAAAACCTCATTCCTGTTCTTCAAAACAAACAAGCTTTCAGAGCATATCTGAACCTAGATATGCCATGTACACTCCTGTGATTCCCTTTCCATGTTATGCGGGGGGGGGTATCCACCCTGCATGCACACTTAGCCTTATTTGTTTGATCTGTTTTGCTTGATTGCAGGTTTAAGCAGCTTCGCCATTTATCAACTTACCATTTGTGAGGTTACGGCTGAAGATTTACTTAAAATTTCACGAAAATTTTGTTGTTTAATAAGTGCTACATTTTGTAATTTGAGCAGTTTTTGTTCTGTTTCACTTGCAGCCCTGATGACCTTTTACCTCTAGTGGCTCAAATGATTGGCTACAACCTGGTCACCAAACAGACAACCAAAGATGGGGTCAAAGTCAAAAAGGTACGCACGTCTTCCCTGGCTACATGATGAAACTGCAGTCGATGCACTAGTTGAAATCAACGGCACTTTATTGATTAGACACTGAGATATCAGTGCTTGAATATCACACTCTGTGTGCACGTGCTTGTGTGGTCTCATCTGGCACATGATGCGCACAAATAGTTTAGCAAGTCTACTGCGAATATGTATGAGTGCTGGTCGCATGGCCCCCCATGGAATTCCACTCCCACTCTGAGGCTGTCAATTTATCACCTGATAGAGGTAACTGGAGCAGGACGAGTAGGTAGCAGTCACTCACTGTTGAAACTTTTGGGCAAGGATCTAGTAATTGAGCGCATCTGTTGTACTAACACAACATTGTGAATTTTAACATAACCATGGATCCGCTGTGGTGAGTCTGTTAACCTGAACAGTCCTTAATCTTCCAACAGGTGGATTGAGGACTGTTAAGATTAGAATACTGCAAAACTAGGTCCAAAATTTACATTTTTTCATCACATGATCAAAATGTCGCATGCTGCATTTTTTTTATGCCGAAAGCTATCCTCTTAAAGTTGAGGGTCCTTTTTAGGAAAGTGGTTTCATTATCTGAGGTTTAGTGAAATGAAAACTGTTAACTGGCCACATGTAACTTGTTACCCATTATGTCAGGTGTCCATCATTTTTTGGTTCTTAACCTCAAAGGTCATGGTGGCGGAAGCTTTAGACATTGCTCGTGAGACCTATGTGGCTATTTTGATGGACCGCGACATGAATGGACCGGTCATGGTCGGCAGCCCCCAAGGGGGAGTGGACATCGAGGAAGTAGCCGAGAAAACACCGGAGCTCATCTTCAAGGTGCGTGTGTGGACTACATCTCAACATTCAAGGAAAGTCAGACTTCATGATCTAAAAAGAAGTACACTTTGTTTCTTTTTGGAAACGGTGATCCGTTGACTGTAGTGTAACCACATTTAATCAAGAATATGACAATAGTTGAAATACGGTACAATGAGCAAGTGAGGTATTTCAAAAGGGCAAGGCCTCT